TATCAGTGATCGGCAACTTAGAGCCTATATGACTCAATTGCCTTTTATAAGAAAAAGAATCAGTAAAGAGACCTTGGCTTCTACTCGAGGGTTCTTTGAAATTACAACCCTAATATATGTATAACTTATGACATTCCTTTCCTATTCAAAGGTTTATTAGTGATTTTTTAGATGTTATAGATTAGGCATATGACAACTACACCTTAGTGGGTAGGGATAATATAGATTAAGCTTAGGACAAGTGCACCTTAGTGGGTAGGTTATCTTGTTAACATTTGACAAGTTTCTCAGATTTGTCAATATAGAGCCTACCGTAAACCTCATCTAGGTTAGTTACCAATTGGTCATAAATACTGATAGTAGTACCAATATTCGATGGTTTTTTACTTTTACCAATTAACCTAATGGAGCCATGGGAAAAGTTCTCAAGGGAAAGCCCATGTACCTAAAAAAATAGATAGGAAGGTGGGTTCATCATAAGGTACACTGAGATAGCAAGTCCTTGGGGAGGTATATACCAAATTTATGTCTGTTCTTATCATTGGAAGGAAGTTATCGTGAGGTGAACAACAAACTATGTTTTTTATCCTAGTGATGAGGAAGCTCTTGCGTTATTGGCTTTTACCACAATGAAGTACGAAGTCAACAGGATATCTAAAAAGGAATACCCAAACATATTGCAAAGTATGTAACTTTATCTCCTTTTATCTTTGTTCAGTTAAAAATCACTTTTGATTTCATTTTTATACGGGGTTGACATCTAAGGAAGAAATTGAGACCTCTGTCATATCATTAAGAAGGAGCTTGTTGTCGTCAAGATAGATGTTCTTATTTTTTAAAGAAAAAATTAAGGCCTGATTCTTATGTATGAGCTTTTCATTTTTAAGGTTCTAGTTTATGAGGAAGCAATGGTGGGGGGCCAAATTCCTACCAAGAGAAAAGTTGAAAGAGTTATACCTCTCTGTCAAGGGGTCATGCTAACTAGACTCCCCTAAAAGTGATTGTAGGTATCGTTGCTTATTTTAAATGACGGTTGTTGTTAGCGGGAGGTTTGGTTTTGGTAAGATAAGCTTGGAAATGGTGAGGCAGTTAGACAGGATCCTTAAAATTCCTTCAGACATCCTCTAAATGTCTATTAAAAGCTACCATTGTCATTTGGCTTTAACTAGCCAAATGGCTTTTAATGTAAGGAATCTATTTTCTATCTTCTTTTTTTTTTTTAATTATTTAGCTTTCTTCCTAACCTTTATCCTTAATAAACTTTCATGATGTGCACCAACTCCAATAGATATCGGAAGGTTAAGAGGAGCCAAGTAAGGGATGTTATTGTCAGGCATATAGCAGATCATAATGCACTTTACGAGCTCAGGAAGGAGAATATCATCATAGAGGACTAATTGAGAGATTTAAAGGCAACCCATGCTTTTTTATGAGTGAGATGTAAGAAGCTATTCTTCATTTGGGCTCTGCTAAATAGCGGTTGTATAAGGCCTTTCATGAAGTCATTACTTTAAGTTAGACTATTATAGAGTCATGGGCATCTAAAGATGCTCTATAATTGGAGCTCCAAGCTACCAAAGAGGAAGGAAAGAACTCTCAAGCGAGGATGAAGGCACTAAATAACTCTACTAGGGACTTCCAAAAAGTTTTTAGAAGGTTAACAATTTTGTCCAAGGTGATTTTATTATGAGGCTATTCAATATGTTTTTCTTGGCTATTTCCCTTATGGGATTTATATGTTGTGATACAGATAATAACAAGATTCGCATTTCACAAAATGTGGGTTTCTTTGAAAATCATTAATTCTTTCTATTTTGTGTAAATTATGTTTCTTTTTCTGTTTTGCTCCCTTTTTTTGATAATGTATCTATTACTGTTGATTGTTTTAAGCCAGGAATTATTTATCAATGACGTAGCCCACTGCCTCTTTATACTTTCGAACCAACATCTGATCCTGGTTTACAAGAGCCTTGACGATCAACTCGAGTTTCATGATCTTCGGAAAGGTATGTCTTCTTATATTTTGCTCTTTAGGCCACCATTGATATTATTTATATGCCTAAATCTTATTCCAAGGCTTCTACTCTAGAGTGTTGACAGCAAGCTATGCAAGATGAACTTGAGGCTCTTCAAGATAATTATACTTAAGACATCGTTCCTTATCCTTCTAGGTTAAAATCTATTGGATGCAAATAGGATAGAAGCCCATGGATCTCTTGATCAATATAAAGATCGTTTGGTGGCACCTAGAAATTGATAGCAATATAGCTTGGATTATGAGGAAACATTTGCTCATGTGGCCAAGATGACTATTGTTCGTACTATTATGACCATTATCATCTTGAAAGGATGGTTGTTTCATTAGATGGATATGAAAAATACTTTTTTACATGGTGATCTAAAGGAAGAGATTTATATGACTCCTTCTTCTACTATGTTTTCTTCCTCTTTTGTTGTGGTTTTTTCACTTGAAGTGATCTTCATATGGTTTAAAGCAAGCACCGTGGACATGGTTTGAGAAATTTCATACTACTTTTTTGGATTTCACCTTCATCCAAAGTCGGTATGACTACTCTCTCTTCTTTTACAAGATTGATATTGGGATCATTTTATTTCTTGTGTATGTCGATGATATTGTGATTACAGGATCTGATTTGCAGTTGATTAAGTAACTTCAACAACAACTCAAATCTTCCTTCCATATGAAAGATCTTAGCTCACTACAATATTTTCTTGGTTTTGAGATCCGACATTATCTGACTTACATACTTTCGCATCAATATAAATATCCCAGGAGCTTCTTTCCTTAATTGGTCTTTCAGACACTAACTCAGTTCTTATACCTATGAAGGTCAACTTGAAGCTACATCATAAGAATGAAGATATCTTGCTTGATCCCTCTATGTATTGGTAGCTGGTAGGAAGTTTGAATTATTTGACTATTACCCAAACTAATATCTCATTTGATGTATAACAAATCAGTCGGTTTAAGCAAACTCCTTGCCAAACCCACTTAGACACTGTTTGTCGTGTCTTTTGATATCTCAAGGGGATATTTGGTTATGGTTTGTCCTTTTCTTTAGGGACTTCTTTACAATTGGAGGCTTATAGTGATGTTAATTGGGTTGGTTGTCCAAATACTCATCGTTCTTTTTTGGGTTGGTGCATGTTTCTTGGCAGTACTTTTATTTCTTATAAGAGTAAAAAGCAAGCATGTCTCTTAATGTCATCTACTGAGTCTGAATATAGAGCCATGTCATCTATCTGTTTTGAAACTAGTTTGGTTCGGTTTTGGTTTTATAAGCATGAAACTAAAAAACAAACCAAACTGAAAAAACAAAAAAAAACTGAGCTAAACCGGAAAAAACCAAGCCAAAACCGAAAAAAACCTGGCCAAAACTAAGTTGAACTGGTTTGTGTCCTAAAAAACAAGTCAAACAGAACCGAAACTAGTCGGTTTGATTTAGTTTTGGTTTTTGATAAAAATCAAACCGAACTGAAAATGATCACCTCTATCAAGGGCTATTGGGTGAACTTTGTGTTCTGCAACTTACTTTCACTCCTTTTTATGCTGATAACACGAGTGTTATTCAAATTGTTATCAATTCAATTTTCCATGAGTGCACCAAGCATATTATGATGAATTGTCATTCCATTTGTGAAGCACTTGCTTGCTAAGATATTACTCTTCCTCACATTTCCACCGAACATCAAACTTCTGACATCTTTACCAAGGGAATTTCCCGTCATCACCATAAATTCATGATTGACAAATTGATGCTTTTTTATTGACCAACATCAATTTGAGGGGGGATGTTACTAGATTAGACAATATTTTGTATATAGTAATAATTTATATTGCAAGATCTTTGTGGTTAGTAGAGCAATATCAGGTATTTATGTGGTTGGTGGAGCAATATTAGGGATTTTACATGATTTGAAAGAGAAAATCATGCATGTAATTATAATAAGAATAATCTATTATAAAAAGAGGCAGACATTTATTGAGAGGCATTGAAACCAAAACTAATTTCAGTCTTATTATCATAGTATTATAGCTTTGATGACCAAGTACTCACGATTTTGAATCTCATCATTCTTATTTATTTAATAAAAATATAGCACAGTGTAATGTGAGTTTATGTAAGTTTCAAATTCAAAAAACTTTCACTTGAGGAAGTATGTTAATAAATAATATAATTTATATCTTGAACCTCACCTAACACTATAAATTATTGTATTGAGATGATTCTTTGATAAAAATAAATAAAATCTCACCTTCATTTTAGTTGGGCGAGGGAACCATGGTGTTAGAAGTTGGGGGGTCAGATGCAATGTTTTAAGGAAATAGTTAATGGCTGGGTTTAGTGCCCAAGGGCAATTCTAGATTTTAGGTACTTGGAGGTGATTTTTTTGGTAATAATCGACGATGAATATAATCAGGCTTCATGTTTCGTATGGTAGGTTGCATCATAAAAGGTGAAATCATTGTCTATTTAACTTGAAAATTGAGTTGTCCCTTTACTATAAATACTTGAGAAGATTTGTTAGATTGTGCATACTGGTCAATTCAGAAGTAGGATTGCTCCTAACAAAAAAGGGAAGCATGATTGGGCAGTCAAGTGGAAGTTGATGAAAAATTAAGCAGAAAAATTAAGCATTGATTAAATGAAGATTGGTTTGCTTTTCCCAGGAGAGAAAGCACTGGGGCAGCAGTGATTCCTTGAGAAAAGTTGTTGTTGGATTATCCATTCCATGACTGCAGAAGATGTTAAGGGTGACTGCAATAATTTGCTGATGGTTATGAAGTGGGTGGATTATCTATTTTGACTGGTCTCCAGACAGAGAATGGCTATGCAGTCATGCCATCTTTACCGCTATTTAAATTTATTTATGTGAGATAGCTGAGAACACGATATGACTTTGCTAATGTCACCATCAATGGTTGCTGAGTCGTTTGATTCTGCTGAATTATTTCAATTTCATATCAGGCCAATATCATGGAGCACAGACAGGTTTTAAATATCTCCATTACAATTCCTTCTTTTTGTATGACTTACTGTCTTAGTTCCTTGCAGTATTTTCCCGAGAGTATAGGCACACCAAGGAAGAATGAAATCCTGCTCATCGCTCCAACTGGGGAAGAGAGTAACAACAGGAAGCAATTGGAGCAGTACCTGAAGTCACACCTGGCAATCCTGCAGTATCTGCGTTTGATTGGGGGCACTGGTGAGACCCCAAGAAGATCTGCAAGAATCAGCGAGATGGCCAAGGCAACTCCTCCTGAGAAGAAGCACCCAAAGAAGCGAGGCCAAAAATCATCTGGTTCAAAGAAAGATGAAACGGGGACTATTACTGAAGAAACTGAGGGTGAGAATGAGGTTCAAATGCAAGATGCAGGAATTGAAAAGGGTAAGGCAGACGAAGAAAATTATGGTACAAGGGAAAACAGGACTAGAAAGAACATGAGAAACTAGGAGAAGCTGCCCCGGAGGAAGTCACCAAGGACATAAAGACCCGAGATGATGCTGAGGTAACAAGAATGGCAACGAAGGAAATGCTAAGGGATTCCAGCAAGCACTGGAAGTTAAAGAGAGAGAAAACGCTGGGGAAGCAGTAAAGGACAAAGCTGCTGAAGAAGCTGGTTCCAGTGAAGTGGCTGAAAATAGAGCCATAAGGTTGAAGACTTAGGAATGGGACTGTCCCTGCATCCGAGGGAGAGATCAAAGAAACACTGGATGTGCAGGAGGATGCGAAGCATATCTGGGGGCCCCTATGGGACCAACCGATGCCCCTCAGCATCCATCCCCCCTTTCTTTTGATAGAAATCTTAAGTTACAGAAACACTGTTTTGAGTATAGAAAAACAGATACTTAAAAGCAGAGTTGAAAGATTAATATATTTCATTAATTTCAAATGAATTAATTAAAACTCTCATCAACCTTGAGAGATTATTGGTTTTGAAATAACAAGCTTAACAGAAAATTCCTGCT